TATCCCTCACCCGCGAGCATCCGCATTGAGATCCCATCTATGTTCGCGAAAAATGTCCCCTTTAAATACCACGTGTCTCCCCAACTAGTCCGAAATTGAAATCCTTCTTGAATATGCACCACGTTCGAAACGATTTTTTTTTTACGCACTCGCACCGTGAAAATTCGCTTCGCCGAAATTGGTTTAATTGTTCCCAGTTGTTCGCGACTCGACACGCGCACGCGAAGGTAAACACTTGCTTTTTTACGCTGGCTAATATTCTTTCAGGTTCTTTCATCTTCTTCAGATCTTTGTGAATGTTTGTGTACACGTGTACACATCGATTGCACACGTGGTTAAAAGGCTACGTGTGTGACGCTATTTTTGGTCGGATCGAGATACGACCCTAAGAGCCATCGGCGCAGCTGTTGGTCGTCGCAAAATCCGGAAGCCATGCCCGTTTCAACGACTGGCCGCAGTAGACGCGCGCGACCCTTTTCTTTTTATGAAACTTCCGATAAACGTTCCCTGACCAAAGGATTTCCAGTTTCATCCGTCAACCTACCTTACCCGAGGCCACATGGGATTCTTACTCTTCCATCATCATCATTATTGTGCTTTCGCCCATGCGAAAATAGTTCCTAACTTATTATTTGACAACTCTTTGAAGCGAAATGCAAATTATCCGATTACCGAGGGAAAGATTTTGTGGTAACGCAAATGAGAACACACGTTTCAGTAGAGCGAATAATTTTCATTGTCCGAACTTTTGTCGTCGCGAATTTCCGTTTCAAAATTCAAATAAAGTCTGGTGAGCGGTTCTAATTTCACGAAAGTCACCGACTTTCATGTGAATTATCCAGTTTAATGAAGCTTCCCCCCGAAATATACCGGTTGAATATCAGTTGAATCAAAAATAATCAGCAAAGTTTCAGTATAACATGTTATCATCAGGAAAGAGATGTGTCGAGAAATCATTTTTCCGACTAATAGAGATGCCATTCGCAATATAAAAGTCAGGAATGTGGACGTTCCGATCGTTTTTTTCTAATAAGAACATTGTTCTAATAATTTTCCAATAAGAACATTGTGATAAAGATATGATAATCGTTAGAACTCGTTAGATTGAGACGCTAACGTGTATATTATCATGCGACTTTTAACGCGCTTCAAGAACAGACGAGCGTAAACATGTCGAGGTACGCGCGTGAGCGCGCTGTTATGACCGTTTTGATTATGTCTACGCCACGTATACGTGTTTGTTTATTCGTACACGTATCATTTGTTTCACGTTTCTTTTGTTTATTCGGCTACTCCGCTGTACGTTTACTTACGACGATACATTATTTTACAATATTGAATTTTTCACTACCCGTTCAGACACCGACGCTTGCCGCGCGTTCCCGACATTAAACGACGACGTCAATTACCAAGATCGATTAACTACACTTGAAATTTAGTAATTAGGGAGACACACGAAACATTTACATGTTCGCGCGGAGCGCTTCGTTGAAAGCATCGCGTGATAATTTCAGGGCACATGCGTATCTCTTTTTACTGACGCGACTTCCGCGTACTCGCTAGACGCGATTCATTTACGTTGCCGGGCATCGAAAAGATATGAATGCACGTAAATCGTCAGGCTTCGGCGGACAGGTCTACAGAGTATTTCCCTCTAACTATGGCTCGGAACTTCCGGTCAAAGCATGTCGATAGAGACAAGCCACACCATTAAGCGCCGCGATACCCCATACAAATCACGTCGATCCACGATTTATGGCCCATTCACCCTCTCTCGCAATCGCGTTATCAGTGCCGATGGTTGGCTCGTCCGAAACGAGGCTTCTCTATGAAAACACGTTGTTGCGACAGTATAGAGCAGGGTCATTCCCTCGTATTAACGGTATATCAAAAACAGCATTTCGATCTTCAACGATATTCTCGTAAGCCCTCATACTCTACTCTCAGATTACTCACGCATATCGCAAACGCAATTCGCACAATCGCTTACGCATAACACAATTTATGTTGCTTTGAATAAAAATTTAAAATTCCATCTCTCCCTCCCTCCCTGCCTGCCTTCCGGTGTCCCACCCCGAAAGCGGCACGGTTTCAACGATTACATATTGCGATAGCGTCACATTGATTCGCTGTGACGAAATTTTTCGGAGCATGGAAAATTCGGATCTAAACAAAGAGCTTCCGCGGGGCACGCACAATGCCTGCAAATATTCACGCGGAACCTCGCGGAAATTATTCAAATATAAAACGTTGCCCGGATCGAAATATTCGTTCCAAATTGATTCTGCAAATTCCAGCGAATTTGAGAGATCAACGATATTATACTAGTATATTGTCCTATCTTGATGCTATAAATGATCATTTACTGCCAATTTCTTTTTATTAAATTAACCTCAAGAAAAAACTCGCATTCGGAATTATTTAACGTTCAGTTATCTCAATCTTTTATCTGTATTTCATATTTATTCTTAGTTTTTATCAGCGGTATATTAATTATACAACTCGCTCAATTGTAGATCGAATATATAAGGTGAGCAAATGTTAAATATTTAATATAGTAAAACGGGAAATTGAGCATTCCTTATTCATCATATTTTTATTATTTCTCATTGACGTTGAAAGTTTTAAAGATTAAAAAGTATAAAACAAAAATTGTAAAGGCAAATGTGACAGTTGTGTGTCCAAAAATAGCGCGTACCAATCGAATTTTTAATTTGGATTTAGCGCAATAACAAAGTTAAATAAAAATTGAAAAGAAAACGTTGACATATTCAAAATACCTCGTGACTTTAGGAGCATTATTAGACACAAAAGATAGTGCTTGCGCGATTTACGTTAGATTGTACACAGCTGGTTTCATTCATAATTGCAAATTGTTTATGATCCTTGATTGAAAGCATAATTAATTACATATCCGTATTAATAGACCGATATTTCGGCTTGCTGGTGTATGAAATAAATGGAACTATAAGTTGACGAATAATCAGAGCTTCGTGAAACTATAATTGTCAAGTTATAATTTGCCACGTGAGAACAGACTATAAAAATACTGATCTAAATATCGATTGAAATATTTCACGAAAATTTTCGATAAATTCTTCAAACGTTAAAATTAAAATTAAAAAGCGATATAATAAATAATTTCACATACTTGGATATATACATGATATATATCGCTGCTTGCATACTGATGTCCTACTTCCTTCGTCTTGGTTTCTCGATCGGCATCCTGGCTACCAGCTGCTCCGTCGTGGCACTAACACTCGCGTAAATTCGATTCGAATCGGCATCTGCAATTCGAAGACACATGTATTGAATCCCGCGATGCTAATGAGAGTCCGATTACATATTTCAAAAACCGCCGAAACGTGTTTATCACCCGACGGAAATGATACTCTTAACGATGCACGTGTCCCGAAGTACGCGTATTGCTCGACACTGAATGCAAAGTGCGCGACGCACGAGGATAAATATGACAACCTTGAAAGGGACATCACAATATTTTGAAAAAAGTGTTTATTATGATCGCTCGGCAGCAAGTAACGATGATTCGCGGTAGATGACCTTAGCGTTTTTCTGATCTCTTCGATACTCTTTCACACGTTGTTTTTCGTGACCGAATATTACCGTTACGTCATGTCGGGAAATTAAAATATTTTATCGGCTGATTGAAACATCCAATCGAGTTCCCATCTCGGCGTCGTGTTAATTAACACGTGCTCCTCCGATCGAATCGTATCTACGCGACTGTCAATGCCATGAGCTAGTTTCCGGAATACCAGGACGGAGGGACGGGGGGAGGGGGCAAAATGCCGGATCGGAAAGCCAGGACGAAGGACGCAGCACAACGGGACGTAGCTAACGACGTATCATACGCGTACAAATTTCCAGATACATAGATACATATTTTCACATCATGATGTGAAGTCATTTACTGCGCTCGGCGTTCTCGATTTTAATAATAAACCCATTAATCTCATTATTTACCCATGTAACGTATTTAATGTTTGCTTATTTCTCATATCCTATCCGTAGTGAAGTAGGTTACGTAGTCTAAACATTGCCGATTGGAATTAAAAGTAAAGATTAAACGCTGATAGAAAATAATGAGATAATCAGATATTAAATAGTCATGAAACAAGTCCTTTTTTTTATGGGCAATTCAGCATAAAAAAGACGACACTAGCTATTTGTAGCATCAGAGTAGAGAAATATATGATGTTATATCTCGAGATTTCCTATCCTTTCCTTCAAGTTTAACGAAATTTGCAAGGTCAATATAAGGGGAAAATTTCGACTCGTGTATAAGTTTAAATTTTCAGTGTTTCTTTCTGCGATCGCGTCGTCACTTGGATATACATATGAAAATGTACGAGCATCATCCCTTTTATTTTTGCTTTTTCCATCGCGTTTTATATTTACCCATTATTCTTCTATACAACGATCTAATATTGATCAGATTGAGCCAGTGTTTTCCCCGATACGCTGATGTCAATATTTTATTAAGTTCTTTAGCACGCACACGCACACACACACACACACACACACCCAACTTGTTCTCTTTATCTTTCTCAATGTCACGTAATGCGTGGTTATTGCATTCGTTTAGATGATGACTATAAAGAAAACAAAATTCGAGTAATAGCTGATATAATAAATAAACACGTAAATAACGACTTGCGCCGCGTTAAATCACGCAACTTACGCGCAGTGCAGATAACATTGTCTCTTTTGATTTCATGCAGCCAAATGACTCACACATAACAATGCAAATTTATATGTTGACAAACGTAATATACATACACGTCTTCTGCAAACTACACGATTACATAAATACACGAATGTATTGCGCATTCACAAAATATCCACGTCTTGGAATTGGAGCCTCTTTTACTACACTCGCGTAACAATTCGCATTACAGAACGCCCTATCCCCGTTTCTGTTTCTTTTTTGTTTTTCTCATCATTCTCAGCTTTCTTCTTATTCTTTATAATGTCAGGAGTGCCAGCGGTGTACTACCACGGAACAGGAAGTGAGAATGCAGGCCACGCGTATACGGAGGCGCCGATGCAACACGTCCAACGCAATGCACTCCGGAAGAAATGTATGAAGTCGACATTCACTTTGCTCGAAATACGCACCGAAACACCTCCTCTCTCTCTCTCTCTCTCTCTCTCTCTCTCTCTCTCTCTCTCTCTCTCTCTCTCTCTCTCTGTGTGTGTGTGTGTCTCTCTTTCTCACTTCCCATCTAGCTGTCTTTCTCTTTCATACACATATACACACACGCACACACATATGTTACAAACACCATCGTGTACCTTTTTCGTCATTTCGTCGGCCTCTTTCGTTTTCTCTGTTTCTCTCTCTCTCTCTCTCTCTCTCTCACACACACACACACACACACACACACACACACACACACACACACACACACACACACACACACACACTCCGTCTGTCTGGAACAGAAATCCCCCATACACGATCTTTCGAAGTACAACCATTTCTGCGAGCATTCTTCTCGAATCGTCCCGCCTCGTTTATCGCGTTTCGTACGTTTCTGCCTTCGTCTGTTTCCGCACGGAAAATGCGTATTAATATCGAAGTGCATTTCGATGCATCGAGTGCTACTCCAGGGAGTCTCGCGCCGTAGTTTCGACGGCGATCGATACCCGTAGGTAGTTCCATTATTGCCACAGCCAGTCGATGCATCCGAATCGAAACCCGTAGTCGCGGCGGTAAACGCCAACGCGGTTTCGAGCATCCTCGCCTCGATGGAGAAAGCTGATACCGTCGATATACGAGCGAAAGCTCTCACTAAGTGCCCCGAGAAAACACCTGTCACATTTTTCGGCGACGTATAGCGCTTCCGTTATTTCCGACGTGTTTCCTTACACGCGCGAACTCTTATCATCACCGTCGGTGAGCGTGATAACGCGCTGACGGAGACGCCAACGCCCAAACGAAGAGCGCCTTTAAGAGGCGCTCTTTGCGCTCGAGCGTCGCCGAAGACGAGAGGCAGAAGGCACGCACGCATGCCTCGAGGATCTTCCGGAACGGCATCCTCGGGAACGAAACTCGGAAACAGGAGAGACGATTGACAAAGCAACACACCCGGATAAATAACTGCTCTGCCGTGTTCTGTTTTCCTTTTCAGTCATCCATCTGGCGCGCCATCACTTCTCTGTTCGTTGTGTTTCAATCTCTTTTCTTTTTTTCTCTCTTTTTTGTTTTTTTTTTTTTTTTAATATACGTTAGCTTTCGGGCCGTATATTTGTCGAGTGACAGTCGACGGAAATGAATAGCGAAAGCACATACGTGCGTTGCAAGTGCGGCGCAGTTGTGACCGAAGTTTTATGTTTCAGTGGATCTAACCAATGGACAGCTCACCCCAAACAACAACACGCCCTTACTTACGCAAGCACTTTCTGGTACGTCTTAAGAAAAAAACCTTACTTCTACTCGGTGAGCTGTGAACGTAATGCGCTTTCATCGACTCGCTGCGATCGATTCGCCCGGAAATGCAAGCAATTTCGGCTACGGCGGCTGGCCGTTTTTCGTAAACTAGTCGCGCGAGATCGCGCGCGAGGCCAATGAAGATTGCGCGCGGCTGATAGTCCGAACGAGTACTCGAGATACTCCTCTGACGAACGAAATATCGCGCGATATAATATTACGTTCAGATCGAGCGCGATCGCGAGCGCTTGCCGTCTCATTTCAACGTGTCGCTTAGCATCGTCACGAATTGAATTCTGCTTGCAGAACGGATAATTTCGCGGAACATCGGGTCCCCAATTTGAGCGTTTAACGTTACCCGATGTTCTCGCGAATCAATCTCCATTTGCCGTAGACAGAAACGGCCGAGAGAAAGATTTGGCTCGATTAATGTCTGTAATTTCGCAAGACGATTCCAACTCGTGAGCGCGAGCAACGGAGAGAGCATGGCTGCTTTATTGGGCATGATTACACCGCATGGCTGTTCTGTGTAGAATCGTACTCGACGGTTTATCGCCAAGTATACCGCAAGCTTCGACTCTGACTCGACGAGAGAGAAGGAAAATTCACGGAAAATCAAACCGTCGCTGGCTGCTGCACTCGCGCGCAACGCTATCCACCGGAAATGTGAATAAAGTAACAAGACAGCACTTGCCTTTCCGCCTCCCTCCTCTCCTCCCCCACCTGTCCCTCTCCTCTCTCATTCTTTTTCGCGGACTTACGTAACTTTTCCTTTCGAAACCATTTATCTCGAAACGCCTTTTCTCATCGCGCCGGAGCGACGGAGGCAGCATCGCTATTAATAGATACCGTCTCGTTACTTTCATCCCTTAATCTCCGTGCGATCGCGTGCCGACGAATCCCCGAGAAATCGTTACGAGGGAGCGAAAGGGACGAAGAGCGACGTGAGAGGCGGGAAGCGCCGGCATCATCCACACGGCAAGGGAAGTGTCGCACACGCGGGGGCGCCGAGATGCCGACAGCGAAATACGCCTCTTTTATTTTTTTTCCTCTTTTTTTCTTCCCTCGCTCTCTCTCTCTCTCTCCCCCCTGCCCTCTTCTCGCATCCTCCCCATCTAGAATCTGCCCCCGATCTGCCCGGCGTCGCGCCATCGTGCCGTCCGCAATCTCCTCTCAAATAAATCAAACTTTTGAATCGCGCCCGTCCCTCCGCCGCGACCCCACGCGCTCCTCCCTCTCTAGCCACGGCATCGGCACAAAACTTTGTAACCGGCCGCCATTGTCAAGAGTTTAAAAGCTGAATGGGTTTTTAGATTGTACGCCGGGGCGCTTTCGGTTTCCCGTAGCCTCGCCGCCCTCCTAGCTCCTCTTTTCCTCGCCACCGTCGCGAGAGTTTCAAATTCTTCGCGTACCGCCCGCTCTTACGACCTCCCCCTCTGTTCCTTCCTCCTCGTCCTCCACCTTCGTCGTCGTCTTCTTCCTCTCCTTGTTCTTATTTTTCTTCTTCCTCTCCTCGCCCTCGTCGACTTTTCCCTCCTGCGCTTTCGTGACCGCCGTTAATCCAAAAGTACGTACCGTATGACATTTACGCGCGATACGCGGTATCGTTCGAGTCAGATGCATTAATCTCCGCCGCTTCTTATTGGATATCTGTCAGAGTTTTTACGAGTGCGAAAGTTTTAGAATGCGGACGACGCGCCGAGACACTGTTTCCCCGTGTGCGATGCAGCTTCGAGAGTAACGCAGAGTAGTTTCGCCATGATTTCGCTCCTTGTTACTTTTGTTCACCCACTACCCCCAGAAGCCAAGCAAGACAAGAAGCAGTTGTTGGCAGGGTTTGGAAAGAAAGAGTGCTCGAAAATTGATTTTGTAAATGTAGTAATTGCATTAGTGTTTCCGTTAATCCTAGTCACCGTATTAGCTGACACATAATATTATGTGTCTCAGCATATGTTGTGAAAAAGGTTCGAGAAGATTGACATGTATTTTCTTCGATAGTTCTTAAAATGACTCGAAGGTAGCACAGTGCGCGCGCGCGTAAAGAGGAAGAAAATTACGATAACGTATTAAAAGTGTCGGAAAAATTTAAATGCCGATAGTATTATTCGACATTCGCTTATTTGAAGAGAAAATCTGTCCTGTGCACCTTTTTTTAACCATCTCCGCCTTCTAACTATCGCCTTCCTGCCAATAACTGGATTCAGTGCAAGAGAAGGATCAGTTCGTTTCGCGAAATTTTTCTGGAAGAACGGGAAACCGATCTCGGAATTTTATTACCGCGCGGTAATTGACGCGCGCGCGGCGAGTAACGAAACTTATTAATTAAATTTACCCATCCCCCCGCCCCTTCTCCCGCAATCCGCGGTTCTTCCCGTAGACTCGTTTAACATCGACGGCGCGCGAGACGAGACGCGTTTCTCTTTCTCGAGATATGCGGAGACGCGAGTTTGATTTCAAACTTATCCTCTGTTGCACACGGCAGACTCCGCGATTGTACGCGCTCTAACCTTCATTTCATCCACTTCTGTCGTTTGTATTCTCATGGGGTCTTTACTCTGAAAGCCGAACGTGCAATGGGGTAAGTTTAGTTTTCGTCGCTTGGCCTGTCTCTAATCGAACCAATCGTGCGCAATCTTCGTTCCGTCTGACTTCTTAACAGTACGAAGGGAAGTTAGTCCTCGTGCGGACGAAAACGTTATAGAGAGCGGTAAACGCGTAGTCAAAAGCCTGCTGTATCTCTCTCTCTCTCTCTCTCTCTCTCTGTCTGCCTATCTGTCTGTCTCTTTCTCTCTGTTTCTCTCGTAACTTCTCAAGTCGGTCGCCATCGCTGTCTCGTGCGATTACGTTGCTTGTCCCAGCGACATGTTGTAAAATGTCCTACATACCTACGCATACATATGTGTATATGCGCTTTCTTTATTGTTATCTCAATGGTCGTACATAAAGGCTGCTTGCTCGCGCAATGCGCTTCAGTGTATTCCTTTATTTTCTCCTCTTCTCTCTGTCTTTCTTTCTTTCTTTCTTTCTTTCTTTCTTTTTCCTTTATCTTCGTCTTCGATGAGATGCATTGCGAAAAGACTCGTTGAACTCTGCCTATCCTTCTCCTTGTATTCAGTAGTGTGTGTATCGTGACACGTGACTCTCGTCGGTTCCGTATACTGGCATTTGCGCAATCGTTAAACGCGCTAAGCACACGGTCCTCGAGATAAAATACAAAAGACCAGAGATCTCCGTCGTTCACGTGCGCACGAATGGGCGTGAGCTCGTTACGAGAAACGTTACATTAGTGTGTTACATTAGTGTGTACGACTTAAAGAATCTTATCTCTAATGAGATTTAGCCCGCTAGAGCGTATCGTTATGCAACTGAAACGAGTCTGATATTAGTAAGAGGCGGAAAAGCTAAAAACTCGGGACGTACGCCAACGGAGCAGCCACGTGCCTCAAGGTACTTGCATGGAAGATTCCTGAATGGGATAAGGCATGCAACGCTCGTGTCGCTATCACAAGTGGAATGAAATAATCTGAAATTTCTCGTCGGATGAATAAATTGTCAGTCGGACATTCGGCCGTTGCGAAATATACCGTGCGCTACAATCGAAAGATCGACACGACCTCGCGTCGTCGAACAATCAGACTGAAGAATCTTCCCGAGTCCTCAACTAACACGATACCGCGGTATGAAAGCCACTTTCGTCGACACATTCGCACTTTGCGAAATTCGAGAAGAGATACGCGATCTCTCAAGCTGTTCAAGCTCTCAGCCAGTTTTTCCTGCTTTTTCTTCCCACTCGTCGTGAAATAACGAACCGACCGATCGACCCGACCCGAGGAGTGATAACACTGTTATCACATGCGGCTGCAAATTACGCGAATCCGGACACGCTAGTTGAGGATCTCGTGGATCTCGTGGATCTCGGACCTCGAAGAAGTTGACAGCCCACGCGCGTCAACCTCTAAGGGTCGGTTGTTCCAACTTCTTGGTACGTAAGTCAACTGATAGTTAAATCATACATTTATCTTAGTTTTTCCTTCAATTTAGACCAAGACAGACATATGACTTAACCGACATCAGTTAACTTACCAAGGAGTTGGAACAATCTGCCCTAAGAGAGAGTCCCCGCGCAGAGTCTTCGCGGCGGACGAGGGCGAGCTTCTCACGCCGAGGCTCGTCCTCGTCGCGACGACGCGTCTCGGACGTCCTTGAAAAGGGTGAACATTGACGCGGGTTCGTTGCAGTGATGAACAACTACCAGGCGGCCGCAGCACAGGCCGGATTCCCGCCGGCGTCGCCGCACGCGGCCGGCGGCCACGGTGGGCCGCAGGGCCGATCTTTCCCGGCGGCCAATTCGCCGGGCCCGATTGACATGTACAGCTCGGGCGCCGCAGCCGCAGCAGCAGTCGCAGCCGCGGATTCCGTCGCAAGCTACGTCCAGGCCGCAGCTAGCCCGCAGCCCCCCACGACCGCGTTCCCCGCAATCGCCGTATCCCGTGCCCCGCTCAACTACAGTCCCGTAAGTCCACTTAATGTTCCCCTTTTGTCGTCGGATCGGGCCCCTCCCGAGAGAGACGGTACGAAAGGACGAAGAGCGTGGTCGACAGTTCAGTGCTACGAATGCGATGACCGTGCGGGTTATTATTTCGCTTACCCGTCGTGGCTCGTGGAGTATTCGCAGGATGTGCGCGATTCTTGGTAACTCCGTAACGTTTTCCCGTTTTGTAAGAGGAACCGCGTCGACTGAATGGAATTTTCGTAGCTGACGCGGATGCGAGGACAAGTGGAAGGGATCGGAGGGAGTAACGGAGCCGTTGTTACCGGGCTAGAGGCGATTACAAAGGGAGACTAATACGAGAAGAAGCTTTTACGTCGCGCGTTTTAGTTGCGCGACGCGAGCAGTACAAAAGTGTCCGCGCGCGCTAAAGTATCCTCGCTGAATGTACACGCGAGACCGTGTGTCTCTCCCTGACAAATGTTCACAGCTGCTAAAGCGGATCATCCACGTGAAATCGACGAGAATGAAATATCCTCACGGTTTTGTGTTCAAGAACTTACGTCGCACGCGCAAGTTACAAGCGAGCACTTGGCGAGTTTTCGCCGCGAAAGTAACGTGACATCGAGAAATCTCGTTCGATCCACCTGCGTGCGATCGTCCAAGCTCTTCGTCATTTCGTCATTCCCATACTGTAATTTCACCAGCTTTCACGACATCTATACGACAATCAAATTGAGGTGTCACGCATTTCGATATAACCGGTTGTCAATCTTGTGAAGAGATTTGCTTCCATACTGTACCTATATTATTATCATTGTACGCTTTATACATCCTGTATATTCTAATTCTATATTTTACGAGTACGTCTCTGGTCCGTCAGGTATAGTATGACAATTATTGCATTGACTTATGTCGAAAGTTACACCTAATATTGTTCATAGGAGACTGTTCCAATTCGTTATTTATCTCTCTTTCTTCCTCTCACCGCAAATGTTAATCACATTCACCGTTACCCGAGATTCTCCCATGTGACAATCACGTCGTCCCTCCCGCATCTTGTCACTTTCGTTCAACTATCGTTACCCATTACACCGGAATATTTCGGCACAAAAGTGACTACAACCTCGGAGGCCGAAGTACCGCAATTGCGCGCAGCAATTTTAGATATGCAGGCAAGCGCGCAAGGGTTTATCTGCGCGCGCTAACTCTTGCGTAATAATCATTATTTTTATGGAAAGGTTGATGCGACCGATATCTTCTACTGTTCCAGGGGCCTCTTATACCGGCGGCGTTCACTAATGGCTACCATTGAGCCTTGTTAAGACCTAATAACAGGTACGTGAGTCGTCGAAAGTATTCCGCCGAAAAAAAAAAAATAGAACATAAATTTTATCTTGTGAGTGAGTTTATCGAATGCTTCATGCGAATAAAATAGTCAAATGTTTTGTCTCTTTCGTCGTAGTTTCTCACACGAAGGTATACGAGAAACAGCAGCAATGATATGAAAGAAAAGGTCCTATCGTCTCTAACGATTTAACTAATATTAACCAAAGCAAGAGTATCTAAGAATCAGGAAATAAAAAAGAAAATTAAGAGACTTCGCACTTAAATGTAATTCGATAAATTCTCAATTTTTTATTCGCCAGGATGGACGAGACGGCAGAACGCAGCACGGTCGCCTGATGACATTATAAGCAACGGGAGTTTTGAGGCAGCTAAATACAGTGGATAATCTCTGGACGAAAAAGAAAACATACATATATACACGACTACTGCAAATGACGATCGAAAGTTGCGATGCATTAAAAAAATAAAAAAGAAAAAAAAATAGATAATATATCGAGTAGAAGGCAACAATCGAGTAAGATCCAATCGATGCAACTTCAAAGTCCAGGTTGTAGATAACTGGACGTAATATTACGCGAATATCGACAACGCATTAAGGCGGAGAATTTAGAGACCGTTAGTCGGATCTACGGAGGATGGATGCAGCTTATAAGATAAATAGAGATGAAAAGTACGAAGACTGCTAAAGAAAGGAGGAAAGGTGAGACGCAACAGGGAGAAGACTACGCACGTCCAACGCACGTCCAGAGAAGATCAGAGAGAAATAACGAAAGTGAGAGGGAGAGAGAAAGAGAGAAAGAGAAGAAGAGGGAGAGAGAGAGAGAGAGAGAGAGAGAGAGAGAGAGAGAGAGAGAGAGAGAGGAAAAAGAGAAAGGAGAGCGACAGGGAGACCGAGACCGTCAGATGGAAACAGGAAGAGAAGACAACGCGCGCTGCAATAGGCTTAGCTGTGGCCGAAACTGCGTATTGACGCCAGCCCGTTCTCCGATATATTAAAAAAAGGAATAATATAATAATAATAAATTAAATTAATATTATTAATTGCTAAATATTTAAGCGGTTAAGTCTAGAATATATAAATAATATATATATATATAAAGATATATATATATATATAAAAATATATATATACATATATATATATAAATATATAAATAATTGATAATTATTAGACGATAAAGACGTATGACCTCTAGTATTTAAGACAGATAAAGAGAGGACGGAAGAGAGATACCAACTCACGAATATTATTATATCTATTAATTACTACATGATTACTATGGCGATTGCCCGCGTAAATATATTATTACATAACGATAGGCACGCACGCGTTCGCACCTGGGAAAGAAATTTTGTTTCTGGGCTTTCAAGTTTTAATCGCATGCACGGATAGGGTTGAAGAATTTAATGTCAGCCGAAGAGAACAACGACACGGAGAAGAGAGAGAAAAGGAGAGAGGAGACAAGGGTTGATGAAAAAAAAAAAAAAAAAGAGAAAACAAAAGAAAAAAGTAAGATGAATAAATCGAGAAGTGTTTTTGCCGCCCTTTCTCTGTGTTCCCACATGGGAGACCCGAGCTTCCTCTTCTCTCCGAACGTGCCTTTTCGCTGGCTAAATAGCGGAACGGTGCTTCTCTCCTGTCCTGTCGCAGTCCTGCTTTCCCGGGTGTGCAACGAGATAAAAAAGAAAAAGAGAAGAAGAAGAAGCAGATGAAGGAGGATATAGTGGCGAGCGAGCGAGAGAGTTACATACGTAGACGTGTTACATATTTGACGTCACGCTGTTAGCATTATTTGCGAGAAGAGGAAAACGTGCAAGCAGACTGCGTCGAATTTCGCGACGACGGGGCAAACCCGAAAAGCGACGGCAAGAAGAACAACAGTGGAAGACCAGGAGGGGGAGAACCAGTGCTAGATGATATCGTTAGAATCACAGAGTAGCGGAAGCTCCCTAGCTGCATTTCGCCGTCGAATCCGCCGTTTATATCCCGATGAGCAAAACGCGACTACGCGCGCGTGTCGCGATTGCGATGAATTAATAATTGCAAGCTCGACGAAGAAGCATTGTCTTGCGTTTCACAGCAATACGATCTTCTGCCGATCTGAACCCGGAAGGTATCTCCAAGAGTTCTATTCGTTATCAATCTCGTTTCTTTGTTACTCTCTACGTTGAGTGACCGCGTACAGCTCTCAGGCTGCAGTTTCGGCGAAGTCACTGGGCTTGCGTGCGACGCCGCCGATGCCCTCGCTTTCGAAACAATGGGATGTGAACGGTCGATTCGCACCGCTCCGTAATTCTAATTGACACCGAACGCTCGCTTCGATGTTCCGCTCGGAGTTTCCGCTTCCGGAGGTGCCGGACGATGACTGTTATGAATCTAATCGGCCACTGTATAGCTTTAAAACCAACTACGTGCAGTAACCCCTGTTACAATATACACACATATTACGCGTACGCGCGAATTACCGTGTAATTAATTTAAAGTAACGCCGTATATGCATGACCCTATAGATGAGCCAGTGTAACAAAAACAGAGAAAAGAGACACGAGAGTTTCTTTCGAAGCGGCAAACAACCGCGGCATACAACACGTACACGCGCCAACGACAATTACACGCAAATACATTGTACACGACACGACACGACACACATACACGAAAGTTACAACACACGCTCCACATCCCCGGCGTCTAATCGTCTAAGGCTGAGTTACACCGACAGACCGGGTTAACTAACGCTGGTTAGCAATTCATTATTCTCCGCTAAATTATAGTCCTACTCGTAATACACAGACGGACGAAGGAAATGTATGGTTAACCAGCGCCGGCGTTAACCGACGGTAGGTGCGAACCTAAATAAGATTCATAGAAGGGGAGATGAAACTATCGGAAGGAGATCGAGTTGAAGGGAGGAGCTAGCAAATGTATACATATATATAGAGATATCGCGTAATCTTCGTCCGCGGTGTACAGAGCGTCAATCGACGATACGCTTCAAACGCTACCTTAACGGGAGGACTCGGATTAAGGAAGAAAAAAAGAAACAAAATACCTAAAATTATATACGAGAGAGAGAGAGAGAGAGAGAGAGAGAGAGAGAGAGAGAGAGAGAGAGAGAGAGAGAGAGAGAGAGAGAGAGAGAGAGAGAGAGAGAGAGAGAGAGAGAGAGCGAGCGAAAGAAAGAAAGAAAGAGAGAAAAGTGAATATGAGAGTATGCGTGAGAGTATGCGTAAGCGTTACTTTTTAGAGGTAAAACACGCGATCGCGCCACTAGCGTCGCGATTAGATCTAGGAACTAAACGGGCTAGCGAGGAAAGACATAAACGTGAGAGTGAACATTATATTATAATCACCCTATATATCGCAAAAAGAACGGCTGAACATCGGATGCCGCGTTCATTCGCGCTTCCAATAATTCAATTCTGGATGTTGAAAGAGGCCAAAATACCGCTCGACGAGAACGCGAGACCGAGCCCCTTCCGACATCCGCGAGCCTCAATTGAACCATGTTATATGAACGGATATAAACAAGCGACGCGCTCTCCGACTCGAGCGACGTCGTAATTCCGAAAATCGTTTCTCCGAGTTGCCCTCGAAGGGAACATCCGCTCGAGCTATTAATTCTTTTCTTTCGGACGATCGCTTAAGGCGCATGACTCTACATTGTATAACACGGTCCAATTGACGAGTAAATGAGCGAGGAGACGATTGAGAGATTCTAGTGGATCGCTCGTGATGATGATGATAATGATGATAATGATGATGATAATGATGATAATTGTGTTGATGATAAAGATAAAGATAACAATGATGATAACGCTGATATAATGATAATGATGAAGATGGCGATGAAGGGGAGGATGGAAATGAAGATAAAGTTGAAGATGAAGATGATGCTTATAATTATGAATTATGACGATGATGATGATAATGATGAAGATGATGATGATGATGATGATGATGGAGAGGATAACGATGAGGATGATTCATGATGATCGGGAGTTTAGATTTGTCGTGATCTTATAACATTGCGCGCGGAAAGACGAGAGGAATTTCGATTGGCGCGAGGACAGACTCGATTCTTCGAGGCGCGAGCCTTTCGGATAGTTTCAAGTGGTCGACACTTGGTGTTATCAGTTTTGAATAACCGGACGAGTCGTTTCCGCGGGGATTTGAGAGATGGGATATACATATATATATCGCTACGGATGCACCACGAGCTAATTACCAACATTCGTAGGCTAAGTTGCATCGACAGTCTCGCTCAACTAACTCTGAGTTATCGATTTGATATCCCTTTCTAGATCCAGAGAGTTTTAGCTAATATGATATAATAGATAAAGGAAATGAATTTCGTGTTAATCTTGATTAGTACTAACCGACGTTGATACAAAATCACAATTCTTCAAGGTCTCCCGTTATGCGTGCCCTCTTCTTCGCCGTTGTAGCGTAACGCGCTACAAATCGCCGTTACGTTTCTCTCAGAATGGAAGATTTTCAATCTAAGAAATAGAAAGAAGACGTCTTTTCTCTCTTTCACATGCGTCGTAACACGCTCACGCACGTGGCCGAAAGCTTTCAACCTCCGGCGCGAAGAATACACGCATGAAGGTAGACCCCGAGCGGCCGTTGCTGCGGTATATAATATGACAGTGCATTTAAAATATATACACAGTACATATGGAGATGCGAGAACCCCGCCGCATTGACGGAGGGTTCAACGAGAGGTTCCTCCCTTCTTTCTGGCGACAAGGGCCACGCCGCCCTTAATTAAATTATACGCGTAATTTATACGACTGGGACGTTCGCGTTTCGTTTATATATCGCTGAACAAACACGGTTCCTTATATTGCATATTGTCATTACTATGATTGAATTCACCGGGGAGAGTCATCGGTCGATTATAATTATAATTATACGAGCGATGAATATACGCGCGACTATTGCGCGCGTGCTGTTATTATTATTGCATTAAACAACAGGGTAAACAAAAATAGAGGAAAGGAAGGAAGGGAAAAGAAGGAAAGAAAGAGAGAAAGAAGGAGAGAATGAAAGAAAGAGAAATAACTTTAAATTGAGTATGTGTGTCACGTCGAACGGCAACACCATTTTGTTTTTTCGTGTGTTATATGTACACGCAATTAAATAGAAAGAGAGAGAAAGAGAGAGGAGAGAGAGAGAGGGAGAGGGAGAGGGAGAGGAAGAGGAAGAGGGAGAGGGAGAGAGAAAGAGAGGGATATATACATATACGCGCGCAAACGAGTCAATTCTTAACGAACGTTAGCAATAACTTCTTCATGACCACAAAGAGACATGCGGCGGCAAAATGGCTAAGGCTTGTATCGCCAACACCAGTATTCTTAAGTTCCTAAATTATGCGCGTAAACTCGGTTCGTTTTAAGAGGATAACTAGCGAGAGAGCGGGAAGGGGGAGAACGAATTGAGAGAACTGCGATCGCGTGTGCATCACCGCATTTTTCGAAACCTCCCGTTTCCTTGTGAGCAAAACAAAATGGTGGCTGTCTCATTATACAGCTCAGAGATTAATTTAAGCGTGGAGAGAACGTGATATCTTCGAACAAACGTTTCAGAGTAGACGTACTGTGCGTAAGACACAGGGAAAGAGGCGATCTACCGTATATCGGGGAAGTCGCTTTCTTTTAATCAAAAAGTTAAGCGATATTTCGGTTGAAACGATTATTTAATAATAGTCATCGATAAGCGAGAGTTATAGAAAACATCTTAGACGCCTCGGAGATAATGAGTAAGTTATCTAAGTACA